TCACTCAGTATTATAGACTCTAGTTCCATCCAGGTTGCAGCGAAATTCATGATTTTGTCTTTTTTATGGCTGCGTAGTATTCCATCGTGTATATGTACCACATTTTTTTAATCCAGTCCTCTTTTGATGGGCAGCATGGTTGTTTCCAGGTTCTTGCTATTGTGAACAATGCTGCGATAAACATACGTGTGCAGGTATCTTTTTTATAGAGTGATTTGTGTTCTTCAGGGTATATTCCCAGTAGGGGGATTGCAGGGTCATATGGAAGGTCAGTTTTTAGAGCTTTTAGGAATCGCCACACTGCTTTCCACAGAGGTTGCACTAGTTTACACTCCCACCAGCAGTGTAGAAGTGTTCCCTTTTCACCACACCCTCTCCAGCAGCTGTTATTTATTGAGTTGTTGATAATTGCCATTCTGACTGGAGTTAGGTGGTATCTCAGTGTGGTTTTGATTTGCATCTCCCTGATGATTAGTGAGGTTGAGCATTTCTTCATGTGTTTGTTGGCTGCTCGAATGTCTTCTTTTTTTACTTCTCCATCACCATTAACTAGGTCCCAGAAATCTTTTATTCAGTATACGAAGATTTTCAGTAAGTATAGGTTTATGTGTCATATTGGAATGTGACCTTTACAATATAAAGAATAAAAGCTTTTTCACATGTTTAAGTTATCTAACTACAGCTGATATTAATAAAACTCAAGCCACATTCTAATTTTCTGAAATATTTTACTAACAAAAAAAATGCTTGACATCGTTCTCGACGGTGGTAAAAGTAGTTAACAGGACATCTTTCCTCTCAACCAATGTTTAAGTATATAATACATTATTGTTTTCTTTAGGTATAATCCTGCATAGCAGATCTCTAGAGCATTTTCATCTTGCTTGACTGAAATCTTATGCCAGTTTGAATAACTCCCCTTTGTCCCCTCCCCCGGCCCCCAGCCCTGGCAACCACCATTCCACTCTTTGATTTCACAAATTTGACCAGTTTAGGTAATCATTCATATACATGGAATCGTGCCGTGTTTGTCTTTCTGTGAATGGCTTACTTAACTCAGCATAATGTTTTCAAAGTTCATCCATGTCACTGT